ACTCTGTCCCTCTGGGTCCCTGTCGCTCTCATTAGCATACAAATGTGTCAGCAGAACAAACAACCGAAAGAACCGAAAAGAATCGGAAAGAAACAAAAAAAAAGGGGGAACTGAACGTCAAGCGTGATTTCTTGACTAATTTTTATGACACTTTCCCACTTTATGAGGTGGGGTTCCTGCCCTTACCTTCCCTCCCTACCCTTTTTGTCGCTTATTGAACACCCATCCCATATTCTTGTAGTACCAAAAGTACCGACGTTTGGCCGTAAAGATTTTTATCGTTCGTGTGAGGATGTGTCATAAAAAAAAGAGAGACCCCAGAGAGGAAAGGAAAGAGCCTAAGCCTACACTCTCTAGAACTATTAAAAACAATAAATGTCAAGAATGGAACGGATTTTCAAGCACACAAATCCCATCCATACCTGAGGAAAAACTGGACAAAGGCTAAGAAAAATGGTTGGGAAAAATATAAGGGGGGAAAAATAAGGTAGCTAGGAGTTTTCCTTTGTTAATCTTGGGAATTTATGATGATACCAGAATTGTAAGACAAATATTAAGAATTTTTTATGGATTTTAGGGATTAATTTTTTTTCATTTAAGATTTTATTCATATTTTAGAGATTTTTTTAATTTTTGAGATTATTTTTTTGGTTGTCATCTTTTAATTTACTTCTTAAATATCCCTAAAACTTTGGAAAATTAGTTCTAGTGTTGCAGTGTGGTATCTTAAGTAAAATTCTTCTCCACCGGGAAATAATTTATATCTTTCGAATATTCCGAATCAATCGAACGAAATTTCACTAAATATCATATTTTTCTTCTTTAAGAAATCTCTTCTTAAAGCTCTATTAAAGCTTTCCCGAATTATGCCCAAAGAAATCCTTAAATATTTGTTGTTTCTTCGAATCAAAAAAAAAATTTAAATTCAGCTTCATTAAATATTCTTTTGTATACTAGGAAAACATCAACCCCCTAAAGCTCTCCTTAAATATTCCCAGACTTAATATTTCGGAAATATTTTCCTGTCAAAAGTTATGTTCCAAAGTTTTGGCTGCTTCCAAAAAGAAAATGTCCCTCCATCCATTAGCATTATTCTGTTGCTTCTATTATATTTTGCGCCACCTAATTCTTTGTCATTTGGTGCAGAGGTCACTCCTCCTTCTCTTCATTTAGCTCTCTCTCTCTCTTCTGTTAGCCCTCTCTCTATCTTCTTTCATATATGGAATGAAAAAGAGATGGATAGCGAGTATATTAGATAGTCAAATCACGTAAATTATGACCAGGGCTCTCTGTCTCTCTGGTCTCCTCTCTATAATTCCTTATCGCTGGAACATGATTTCGAATGATAGACTGGCACTAAGACCTGGACTTTGGTAACTGGACTTTGGAGTAGGAGGAGGGAGTAGGAGTAGGGAGAAAGGAGGCAGGCACTATATCTATGCCATTTCCCAGTATTTGGCGACAAGTTTTTTTTTTTTATTCGTGATACTCTTAAAGAGAGGGTATGGCGATTATTGGAAAAAAGTTTACCATTTATAACACATGAAAAATAGAAAAAGAAAAACCAATCTCTGTGAGAAAAATGTTTTATGTTCAATAGAAACACAACAATCTGCAGTTGTATGTGTTCCCTCTTTGTAATTAATCAAAAACAGATAATTGTATCTTAAAGAATCGATCATTCAAAGTTTATTCCTTTCATTCTTGTCTTTTTTTCTTCTTTTTTATTGGATTTATCCACAGTTTTATATATTTCTTCATAATTTCACCCATTTACAACACATTTGGAAGAATATCTTAAAGAAATCATCCACAAGTGTATCAAAAGTTTCTGCCTTTCTTTCTTATATTTTGTTTCAGTCCATTTTTGGTGGGGCATGGGGGGCATGCAATTGGCAACTGGCGCAACGCATAAATTGAGAATTTTTATCTAATCCGCGGCATCTGAAGAGACGCGTACATTAGCTCAGGGACGACGACCGACCGACGGCGTGGCACCAGTCTGTCCTGCTGTGGCCGGGGCGGGGGTCTCTCTCTCTCTCTTTGGGATCTGTGTGTCTGAGGTCTGGGGCCTGGCTTTCGGATCTGGCGACGACGACGACCATCGACAGGCCATAAATCACCCAAAGTTGGGGCCAGAAATTTATGTGCAGCAGATTAGAATCGGCCAAAAAGCGTCATTAGAATAAATGGTCTCAATGTGCAAAAGAAAGAGAGAGGGAGACAACCGGGCGAAGGAATAAGCAGTTGAAGATACTTTTAATTATGAAATTTGTTGGGGTGGAGGCATTCCCACCGTTGATTATTTTTGTTTTAATTATGAAATTTCGTGAACTTACCGTTTCGTTCCTTTCTGCTTGGCGACTCTCGTTTACAGCATTCGCTGTCTCCTTTTCTCCTTGCCAGCACACTGCTCCTCAATTAGCGCTCTTTGAGCTGCCTAAAAACACCTGTACACCTCCGCTCTTCCTTTTAATTGCGGGACGTCCGTCTCCCCTTTTCTCACTCTCTTGCTTTTATTCCAAGGACTAAGACTGCCTCTCATATCCGCTTTAGTACTCCTCTCCGTGTCGTTGTGCCTGTTCCCGTTATAATCCAATAATCCAACACGAAACAGCGTGTGCAATGGAAATGGCCAAAAAATAGGCAAAACACACACACACACACGCACAACGCTGCGTATTTAGGAGTGTGAGTGGAGTGGGTGGCTCTCGGACACCTTAAATCCGGGTGAGACCCGCCTGAGAGTGAGAGTGTGGGCGACAGCGCTGTCAGGCCATCTGCCCTCTGCCAACGTCGCTTGTTTAGTAAATTAAACTTTTTCACTTTCAGCAATTGTTTTTGTTTCTCTTTTCGCTTTCTTACACACAGCACAGACACTTGTACACACACACACACACACACGTACAGAAACAATGTTGAACAAAAGCCAAGTCAAGGCAGGTACAAAAATCCTGATAGGATAGAAGTCAAAGCTGGCAGAGGCAGTAGCTGGAGTAGCAGACAGCGGTAGCAGAGGTCTCAGCGTCGCAGTCGAAGTTAGTAGGAGCAGCAGCGTCGCATTCTAGAGCTAATAGCAGCAGCAGCAGTCGCCGCCGGCAGAGCTAATAACAGACAAGGCGTCGCAGTCCACAGCTAATAGAAGCAGCGCAGCATCCAAAGTCCAGCGCTAGGAAAAACACCAACAAAAACAACAACAAGCGGCGCGGCAGACGTTGTACACAAAAAAATTCCTTTTCGCTGCGCGTCGTTGTCGGCGTCGCCGTAGCCGTTTTTCGTCTCCTTTTTTTGTGTTTGCTTTTTATTTTGTTGTTGTATATTTTATTGTAGCATTTGATATTTGTTGTAATTTCTGCTGTTTTATATCCCCCTTTGTTGTTACATTTTCTCTTTGTTGTTACATTACATGATGTATTTTGTATTTGCACTTCTTTTGGTATTGCTTTCCTTTTATTAATGACTTTTCTTCACCTTACAACTTCTTTGCCGCACTTTGCCTTTGCAATTACTCTTTACCTCTCTCTCTCTTACACTCACCGTAAATAGATGCCACACACAAGCACACACGCACAAACAAGATGATTCTTCTCAATTTCTTGTAATTATTAATATTATTTAATAAACATTTATGTTGGGGGTTTCCCAACCGGATTGACGATACGTTTTTTTGTACGCGTCTAAAATATAAACAAAACACAAACGCGCGAACCGACGAAAGTTTCGAGAGACGCAACCGGCGGCGCTGGGAATATTCACTTCCAAACTTCGTTTTTAGTTAAAAAGTTAAACTACCCAAATACGCGCGTTGCGTGCTGCCGCGGCCGAGAAAAAAATTTTGTGCCTTTTTGAAGAGCGAAAATTTCCCGCTGGGAAATTTGGGAAATGTCTGCGAAAAAAGAGGGTATGGTCAACAGGCAAAACAGCCAAGGGAAATTACAAGCCCAAGGTAAAATCCACCCCATTGCCTAACATACCAACTCATTATTGCGTTTGAATTATGAGCCCAAAAATACCTCAGAAATATACCAAAATACACCTTCTCATGTTCATAAAATACCGCAAATATACCAAGGAATAACAAACTTAGCCCACTTAAGCCCCCAGCTATTAAAACCGGTGAGAACAACTTAAGCTAAGCCGTGGAAAATATTACTGTTTATAAATTGTCCTTGTAGCTCCATCCTTTCATTTTCCATCTTTAACCAGAGCTGCGCTAAAATTAATAAAGTTCAATATTTTTCGTGGGGGTATTTCAATACCACATGGTTGACAGTGGGCTAACGTTCTTTTTGTTGGCTGGAAATCATATTCCTCGACTTTTGATCTTCGATTAAAGATTACTAACTAGCTAGGACTCTTAGCACTGAAAATATAGTTTTCTCAGATAGACGAATCAATTTTCTAGGAGATTGGTTCAATTCTTTTGATGGGACTTGTTAGTAAATAAGGTTTAAACATAAAACGTAAGTTGATATGAAATGTTACATCATTTGAACACTTGTTGCTTGTCAAACAGTAGTGTGGGACATCTTTTTACCCTATTTCCTCTAAATATTATTAAAATTTAGTTTTTCAAGCTGCTTCGAAGCATTTATAATAACTTTTTCTTTTATTCAAATATTTTTTAACTATTCTTCTTATTTCGTTGAGATAGCTTTAAAACAGACACTGACTAGTGTCTGCATTCATTAGAGCCTGAAATTGCAAACATATCCTCAATTCTATAATTCTAATTCCATAATTCTAATTCTATAACATATTAAGTTCCCTCTTTCGACTGCACCTCTACATAATTCTACCTTGGGTGTACAAAACGTAAGCGCATTAAAAGACTAGACAGTGTGACCGCTCCGCTAGTGTCATATTGAATTTAAATACAAAACTGGTTGATCTTTCTAACATTCAATTAGAAGCTAAACATCTGCGAGGGTATTTCTGTTGCAGTATTTACGAGTATTATGGCTGACAAAAAGCTAGTTGATGCGAAAACGAAGCGCGCGAAACTTTAAAATCGTTTTATTATTGAGAATTTTCCGTTTTTAGTGATACTTAATTCATTTTTGTTGGATACCACGATGCTCGAATGACCTTCTGCACGCTCAAGGCCTCCTCTTCTTGAGTTTTATTGTCAGGATCTGGCACAGCAATGGTGCGAACAGGCATGGGCCGAGGCTTGAAGACAACCTTTTCCGGGGACTCAAACTCTGAGACTGGTGTGAACAGGATACAGTAGCCGCCATTCAACTTCTGGATAAATCCAAAGCGCACTGCACTCTTCAGGATATACGCAATGGCATGCAAAACGTTTGGCTTAAAACTAGTACGCTGCAAAATAGTAAAATAAAATGATAGATCCCAACTCTCATATATTGAAACTCACCGACAGGCGAATGAGCAGCTGTTCTACAATATCTGAGTAGGTGCACAGTTTGTTCAGGTCCAATATGGCTTGAAAAATAAGCTGACCATTCTGATTTTTTACCTTAGAAAACTGCGAAACGGCACGACCAGTAGAATTTCGAGCAAGTTCCATTATGAAACTTAAAAAAAACGCTATAAATAATACAGTTTCTCAGAGATTGAAAATATTACGAAACTAATACATGTAATATTTGTGTACGATTCGAAACACAATCACGGACCGAATGAGTAAAAATAAGATACGAGTAGTGTGATGGAGAAATCAAAGAAATTTGACTCGTATCAACGGATTGCTTTGACTTATGGGAATAAATAATGTTTGGGGTTTTATGCAATGTTTTAAAACTAGTAGTCAAAAATCCTTCGCTCAAATTGGTATTTATAGAACATCAAATCTTTGGAGTTAAAGACAAATTTAACGCAATTAAAATTCATAGCGATTTGATGGCATTAAAGAGGTGTTTCTTCGGCCGACTCTACTTGACAGACAGGCCAAAGAAATTGTCATTGCTCGGGCAGTACAGGGTTTCCGGTCTACTGACACGCATTCAGTTCGAACATGGCCGATGATTCTTCCAGAGTCTATTCCGTGCTGTCTCCAAGTGTCTCAGGAATTCTTTAGATTTCCATCTCTCCTCGTGGAGGAGGAGAAGTACAGATATATGTATTAAGGACTGGATGCTTCCTAGTCCCGCAAAAAAGCTTTGTCATCTTTTGTTGACAGACAATTTTGCACCTTATAATACTAAATATAAGAATATAAATAAACTAGCGGACCCGGTGAACGTTGTCTCGCCCCATCGCAGAAACATCGGCGAGCGTTGAGTCCCAATGTGAATCGTTTTCGAGCAAATTCAAACGTGGAAAGCATCCCGAAAAGTGGGGCACAGCACACCATCCACAGTACGCAAGGAAGCGAAGGATTTCGGGCCCTCTAATGTTCACCAAAAGCAAGCGAAGATAGAAGCATTCGTCTTGGCGTAAATGAATTGTGCATATTCGTCCGAGGGCATTAGTCGAAAAAAAACATGTCCAGTCGTTCTCACGTGATGATGCACTATACATTTTTATCTCTCCATTTTTATATATAAAGATAATATAAAGCATATAAAATGGATATTTTGGAACTGTAAAAATTGACTTTAAACTTAATCTTAGGTTTATTTTTTTTTAAATCATTGAAAAAGTTTTGTTTTTTACTTTTTTTAAGTAAAAGAAATATACTATATAAATACCGTTAATAATAATAAATATTTCCGAGTTAGCACATTTCGCATAGATTTGTTAAAGGCGGCCAATAAACTATAGAAAAAACTTCTGATGTTTGATAGATAATGCCGCAATGAGAGGAAGTAAAGGACAAACCCTATTTGTCTTCTTCTTCTTTTTCCAATCACTGTACCTGATGGATCCCTAAGCTTTATGTATGTGCATTTGCTCTCTTAAATAATGCTTAACCGATAAAATGAGAACGACCTCCCCTTTTTGACAGGTGAAAATGAGTTCTCTTCTAATCGCCTTTACTCTTTGTGTGCCATTTTCTGATATATTTAATAATTTGTCACATTCACTCCCTCTACGCTCCACCACCCCTCTACCCCACTCGCTCACACACACGATAAGATAATAGTAGAAGCTCCACTGAAAAAACTGAGCATACGAGAGAGCTTTTCGTATGGAAAAAAAATATTAGTTGCGATTTGCTTTTGTCGCCGAACGGTTGTTTTCAATTTGGAAAATTTGCGCGAAATTTTAATTAAGTGAGAAAACAAGAAAAAAAAACACACATGGAAATATGCCGTTAGTCAGCGGTCAAGGTGTATTTTTGTTGGCGTTGCTGCTCGTGGCGATGACGCTCTCTTTGATGCTCGCGGAGATCACAGCTGTTTCCATTGGTTCGTTACCGTTACATAACTCTCTCCTGCACACACACTCTTTACTCTCTCTGTGCTCGCTGGCTAGATGAGCAATGCAGGCACGCGGACAGCTGTGAGAGATGCCTGGGGGCCCATCTGGACTGTGCCTGGTGTACGGACAAGGTGAGAGTCATTTAACACCCAGCCCCTCAACTCAACATAGATCTAACCCCTACACTGAGAGAAATATTTATTGGTTGTGTGGATCATAAAAAGTTTTATATTTACGGATCAAATTTTGAAGTTTTAATGCTGTTCTCATCGTTCTTTCACCTTTACTCGCGACTGGCAATAACCAATTCAACCGAAATAAAACAGCTGATTTCGTGTCTGAAGGCACAAAGCAAGCCCCATTGAATTGTTTCTTGTGGCTTCCGCATTATTGATTGGTTATCTCGTATCTTTATTCAACTTAAATACCATTTTAGTCATTATAAACCATACACCAGCACGAAATTCAAATATTTGAAATATTTGTAGAGCTCTCGCACACATTTTAGCCCTTCATATCAGATGTTAGCTACTGTGGATACAAATTAAAAATCAAATGAAAGGCCGTACATTTTTCTTTACAATCCATTAATTCTGATAAATACATACATATGTACATACTGAGTACAAATTATAAAATTATTAAAGTATGCAAAATAAACGAAATGAGTTTTTTAATTAAAAAAAAACCATCTTAATTTATATTTATTTGTATTTTTTATGCATTTAGTAAATACCGATCTTTGCAATCATATGTATGTAGGTGTTTATGGATATTCTATGGATACTAGTACGATATGAATCATTAGCTTTTACCATTCATTATCTTCCTTCACTTGTTTAATTTTATTCAAATGATGTCATTCACTTATTGTCAATTTTCACAATTTTCACATTCCTATGCGATCAATTGCATGCCCTACCATAGAGGGGATATTATTTGATGGGTTATTAAAATTATTATTTGCAGACAATATTAATTCCGAAATGCAAGAATTACTCTAAGCACTTATTCTCACTCTCTTTTTCACTTTCCCTCTATGACAGACCTATGAGGTGCGCTGGCGCTGTTTGACGCGCTCCCAACTCCTCAATTTCAACTGCAGCGAAAATGAGATCTACGAGAATCAGCCGGTGCTGGATCTATTGCAGGAGCGTCCCCTCAAGGACTATCAGACGAACGATGATCAAGCGGTTCAGGTGACGCCGCAGCGGGCATACCTCAAGCTGGTCAAAGGTATGGATGAACGAGTGTGTGTGTGTGCGTGTGTGTGTGTACCAATGGGGTGTTATCTTATCCAATAATTTATCAAATGGAACCGTTCTCCGCTGTTGTGTTTTGGTAGCTCCCTTCTTTATGGCTCTATCAATTGTGTCACTCTTCTGCTTGCACCTTCTCATTCGTTAGGCTGTGTTTGCTTTTCCGATTTGTTCCACATCATTTTTAACATTTTGTTTCGCTTATCAGCATTTTGTGGTTGTCACATCTCTGTACTCTGTACGGGGTGTTTGTGTACGTGCATTAGGCGTGGGAATACCCCTCTCTCTCTCTCTCTCTTTTCCTCTCCCTCGCTGTAACTCTCCCTCATTTACTCTCACTCTCTCTATTGCTAGTTCTCTCCCTATGTTCTACAATACTCTTTTGCTGGGTTCACTGAACCGTCTAGTTTGTCGAGTGGCATAAGAGGCGCTAAGTCTAGGATAAGTAAAATCCCATTTAGATAGGGTTTATCATGGGACTGCAAATCTGAGTCTTGGGGTATTAAAATAAAGGGTATATAAATTATTCCAATGCCGAATTGTAATGTATGTTCCTATTCAAGAAACTTTGATTTATTTTTCAATTTTCTAAAACTAATTAAATGCCTATAAGAATTCTTTCTAAAATACTCGAATATCGATACATATTTATACGCTAGTTTTGGGAATGGAATCATGGCCATTCTTACAAATTATGGAACTGAAATATTGCACAGATCTCTGTATCCGAATCACCTGATTTGCAGAATAAATGCTCTAAGTTCTAGATGTTATCATAGCCAAAAATACCCATATATGTAAGAACCTTTCAAAAAGAAATAGTTATGAGGGCAATCCAGAAGGGAAAAAATGAAAAAAAATGTTATTGCTCAAGTATTAATACAGAATTTCTCACCTTCACTGTGGAAGGGTGGTAGGTTTAACAAGTACCCAAACAATACATTTAGGCCAGTCTATATAGATCAGCTTTGTTTGCGAACCGCTTTGTTCGCGGGGTCCTATTTCTTCGAGGCCTTCTTGTAATTTTATCCCGCCATGCTAAACACAGAGGGGTCCGAGGGCTTAAAGGTAGCTTCAATCCCTTCGGTTTGATTGCGTTTGCTCTCCCCCAGTGCCTCATCGATCATGCGGCATCGCATCGAAATATTGGGAGCTCCTAAATGTAGTTCTGAACTAACGATAAAGGATGGTAGAGAATGGAAATCTAAGTGTTCTTTTTTTAGTTTTATTCTCATTTGTATGGTTAAGAATGGAATCTCCTATGGGGCGTTATGCAGCACCGCCTCTCGGTTGGTGTTTGAATTCTTAGCCGGTAACCAATTTACGTCTTGGCAGCTGATGGCAAATCCTATTCGATTTGTATGATTCCCAATTCGTACCAAAACCCAACACTGTGCTTCTCTTTAAGCCCAAGAATCTTGGACCAATTTAAGTGAGTTCTCACTTTTAAGGGGTTTTAAATATAATTAAGAAAGGAAGGATAACCCAAAGAAATAAAAAAGCTCGTGAGGTATTTTAAAATAGCCTCCATTTGCATTTCAATTAGGGTGCTTGAGTGCACCGTTTAAAGGATTGTGGTCCCCCATTATGGCACACAAAAGAAAACCAGCTGGCCAGTGATCAATTGAAAAGCCATTAAATGCGTTTATTTTTGAGTTCGATTGAAGTCTGAAGTTCAAAAATACATTTATGTGAGAGCTTCAATTAAGGTTCCAGGTATGAAATTACACGCTTAAGGATTACAAGGAAGACAACCAACCATTTATCCCAGGGGTGTTGACCAGGTCCAAGTGGTAATGAAAGGGAATCTAGAGCAGACCCAAGCCCCTTCAGCCGCCTGCCTTCTGTCTTAGGCGTATTTATGCAGATGTGGCAGCTCGTAAAACAGCTCATAAACCAGAGGGCCACTTACATATAATAATCTTTAACCCCTGCCCCCTAGGGAACACGCAACGCCTCAAGCTGCGGTATCGAACGGCACGCAACAATCCACTCGACCTTTATGTCCTCATGGACCTGACCTGGACGATGCGCGATGACAAGGAAACCCTCGAGGAATTGGGCACCCAACTAACCCAAACACTGCGCAACCTCACAGACAACTATCGTTTGGGATTCGGGTCATTCGCGGACAAGCCGACGATGCCAATGATACAGCCACAACTCAAGGAGAATCCATGTGCCCCCGTGGGTGCCGTGTGTGAGCCCACCTATGGGTATCGGCATCAGCTCTCCCTAACCGAAGATATTCAAGCATTTACGGACGCAGTGGCTGGCAGTAAGATCACCGGGAACCTGGATAATCTTGAGGGCGGACTGGATGCCCTGATGCAGGTGATTGTCTGCCCCAAGGAGATCGGTTGGCAGCAGCAGGCCCGTAAAGTGGTGATCCTCGTCACCGATGGGTTTATGCACTTTGCTGGCGATGGCCTCCTGGCGGGCATCATTGAGCGAAATGATCGTCAGTGCCATCTGAATGGCGCAGGGGAATACACGGGTTCCCTGGAGTATGATTATCCGTCGTTGGAAGAGATCTATCGAGAGCTCTTGAGGCGTAAGATCAATGTGATATTCGCCGTAACGAAGGAAGTGGTCAGCACATATCGGGAGTTGAGTGCGCTGATGAAGGAGATCAGCTATGTGGATATACTCAGTGCAGACTCATCGAATATATTGGAACTGATCAAGAAAAGGTTGGCAAAGGGAAGCTCTTTAAAAGGATTTAACATTTTCTTTTGGATTTTACAGCTACGAGAGCCTGATCAAGCGCACTCAGTTCGATGACAACAGTCCGGACTTTATCCAGTTGGAGTACTACACGGATTGTGCTGGACAATTTCCCAAGCTGAGGAAACGGAACTACTGCAACAGTCTGAGCCTGGGCAAGGAGCTCGAGTTCTATGTGGATGTCACACTCAAGGAGTATCCCTCAAATGGGGTTTATGTAAGTGAACTGGCCATAGAAACCCTCGCTTAAGTTCTGTAATACTTTCCCCCCTGTTAGACGCATAAAATCCGCGTGGAGGAGACCTCACTCAATGAGTACATGGACCTGGATGTGGAGCTGCAGCGACCGTGCCCCTGCCAAGAGGAGGCCGAGCCCGAGAGCGAGGAAGGACGCTTTCAGTGCGAGAATCAGGGCTACCTGCACTGCGGCATGTGCACCTGTGACGAGGGCTGGACGGGCACCTACTGCACATGCCCCACGGACGCCACGAATGTCACCACCAACGAGGCGTTGCTGCTGCGGTGCCGCCAACCCCAGCCAGATGAGAGCCGTTCCCCCCTGGTTTGCTCCAATCACGGGGAGTGCGATTGCGGCAGCTGCAGCTGTGATCCCGGCTACACAGGAGACTTCTGCGAGTGCCGGGAGTGCCTGGACTGCGATGAGCAGCGAGCCGACTGCTACTGTGGCAAGTGCGTCTGCAAGGACGGATGGTCGGGCACACGTTGCAATTGCAATGAGGACACAGACGCCTGTCTGGGACCCACGGGCGAGGTGTGCTCCCAGCGCGGCACTTGCGACTGTGGCGAGTGCAGCTGCGATGAGCCGTTCCTGGGGAAGTTCTGCGAGATCGATCCCGAAAAGGACAACAAACTGTGTCTGTTCTATGAGCCCTGTGTCACCTGCCTGATCGAGCAGCGGCAGGGCATGGGGGCGTGCGACAATCTGAGTGAGATCTGCACGAGCCTCGACAGCCAGGAGCACTTCACCTACTCCTTTGTGGCCGAGCTGGAGGCGGATGTCCGCTGCCTGGTGCGGATCGTTAACAAGCATGGCATACAGTGTGACAGCTACTTTGGCTATCAGGTGATCGATCACGCCAACTATCTCTCGATCCAGGCCACGAACTGTGAGCCCCTCGACTATGTGGCCCTGTTTGGTTTCATTTCTGGTTTCACTCTACTCATTGGCCTGCTGCTGCTATTTCTCATCCTATGGTGCATCCGGGCCAAGGACGCCCGCGAGTATGCCCGCTTCGAGAAGGAGCGGGCCAATTGGGTGCGCCAGGAGAATCCCATTTATCGCGATCCCGTGGGACGCTACGAAGTCCCCAAGGCATTGAGTGAGAAGTTTGATGAGAATCCATTTGCCAGTTGATCGATGGCTTAGTTTGGGTTTATTTTGTAGTCTAAAGAGCATCAGAGGGTGAAAAGTGAATGACCCGTTTTAAAGAGTCAGAGGATCATACGAAAATATGTATAGATAGAGCATAGGTTTGGCTTATGATTCGTTTTAGCTATTGACATGTTACACCCATGAAGGGGGATTATTCGCAGGAATTGCCTATCAAATATGTGGCATAGGAAAGGACATTTTATTTATGGAATATGAACAATATCTACAATTTTGATAATTGAGAACAGACAACCATAGACAAAACCTTCAGTTCGAAATTACGTTAAGGCTATAATATCTGTTTATTATTAAGTTTAGGAGCTACGAATTTGCTTTTACTGCGCGTTAAACAAGCTGCCGCCCAAGTCTGCACACACGATCCACCTTGTAGAAAATCCATGTTTAGGCATAGAAAGTAATTATGCATTTAAGTATGTGGATGTATGTATGCCTTGTTTTATAGGAGTTAACTTTGAAAAATCAAATTTACAAAGGTTACTTCTTTCCCTCTCTTCGCAACTCTTTGCCATAAAAGAAAACACACAATTTTTTTTATTTTTCATAATTTTTGTTGTTTTTATATTTATATTTTTTTATTTTTTATGGAATTAATTTGATACATCTTTCGATTATAATTATTATTAAATGTTTAAGCTAATTTAACTAAGTATTTTTGTATAGCTAAAGAAAAAAGAGAGTTCCAAAAAATTTAATCTTTCATTTAAAGTTTTTTTTTTTTTTCAAAATATAATAATTCAATTTAGCAAAAGTATTTTTTCATCTAAGAATTAATGTCTTAAGAGGAGACGACTTAATTAAAGAATGACTACGGCAAAACGGGAAATGCAAAAAAACCTATTATCATAATGTATTCTAGGATCCTGCCAGGATGTGTGTGTGTGTATGTAGTGTAAGATTCTTATAAATGTGGTTTATACAAAAATACAATTCAATTAATTAAGGCTAAACGCTTTCACTCCCCCGTAAGTAAGTATCTACTACATTTTCTCTCGCACGCTTTAACTAAATGTAATATCACTAGATTTGTAGCTTAGATTTAGTAAATGGTTTTTTTCTCAACCCTCAAACCACAAGCCACAAGCCACAATTCCAAATCCTTGGACCAACGTTTTTGGCCCGTGTTGAGGTGCGCCCCGAAAAATGCCAAAAACACAAAATTCAATTACACATGCTCGTAACTCCATAACGCGGTAACGCTCATAAAATGCACACACAACACGGAAAAAAAACTTGAATGTGGAATGGGATCCTGGGTACGGTACTCTGCGGATTCTCCGCTTAGAGGACTCGCTCCCCCAGCGACGGTGTACGCTGGATCAGCATCGAGGGTGGCTTCGCCGGCAGGGTAACGCTGCTCAGCTCCGCATCGAGGGCGGCCATATCCGCGGCGGTGGTTGAGGCCATACTAGACTTTGACTTGCCGTTCACTGGCGAGGCGGAGGTGGCGGCGGCGCCAATGGAGCTGGGCAGACCTTGGGGCGAGGCATCGGGCACAAGGCGTCGCAACAAACCACCCACACAGCCCCAGGGGAAGGTCCTGCAAAAATAAGCACACACACACACATACAGAATGAAAGAGAGTTCAGGTAAAGGTAAATAATATGCATTATTAAAGAGAAACACATTAAAGCGAGACCATTAGGCATGGTAATGTTACGATGCTACGTTTGCGGGGGGAGGCACAAGGTCTATGGTCCAGTGGTCCATGGATGGGGGTGCTCTTTCTCGTGTTCAGAAGGGTGGGTAGATGAGCGCGCAGTTACTAAATAGGTTGGGATTTCTATCATATTTTTCTGGAGGGGTAGAGGACACGGGCATGCTTTGAATAAGGAATAAGAATCCTTATTTTTTAATGGGGGGGGACAAACAAAACAGACAAAACTTTCTGTTTAAAGTCCAAAGTAGTAGCATTTAAGGGGAATATGATTTATGACTCTTCAATGAGACAAAAAAAATAACAGTGAAAGTTTTAGATTCAAGACTGTAACTGGGATAAGCAATAAGGTTAATAGAGTAGGTCAATCCTCAAGGAAGTTTCTTGATTTGGTGACCTTTTTTGTGAGAAGACTTCAATAAGTTTTGTTTTAAAGTTATAAAGGGAAAAAGGATTTTTTTAATATAAAAAACTAAGAACTAGATGTATTTGAATACATAACAATGGTTTCAGAAATTACTTTCTCCAACAATGAAACTGTGTCACCAAAAGAAACTGATGTAATATTCATTACGAAACACTGGTAAATTCAAAGATTTGTTGATACAAAAATGTACCTAGAAAAGTACCTAAGCTGCGATTTATTTTACTTTAAAAGTGTAAGAAGAATTCCATTGGAATATCACTAAACGGGGTCACTATTTAAAAAAAAGTAGAAAAGTACAATTTTTGAATTTAAACTATGTAGCAGCATAAAAAAGACCAATATTTATTAGTATTAAGTAAATTAAGGCACATGCTTTCTTTTAAGTAGGCCTTTTTGTAAACAGAGTCGGGGTCACCAAATATAGAACATGTAAAATCACAAACCTAGACGTTCTTTTAAGTTAAATTGAAACTAAAATCAACTTTAAATACATCAAGAAAATTACTTGGATCGAGTATAATATATATTCTGCACAAGAAAAGTCTTTAAAGACTTGCATCCATTCCAGCTTCTTTTAAAATATTCCTTTATGAAAATAACACTGCAGACAGAAAATATACCAGCAATCCTTCCATAATCTACAGATGCTCACATAACTTTATCAATTTCCCCACCGTAAAATACTCGTACACCACAAACCCAAAATTAAACTCAAATGAATATATTCAAGTCAAGTATTTCACTTTGATGGGTGCCCATTAGGAGAGAACAAGACCCTCGACAAGCATTATGGCGCCTAATTAAGTGGAAGGGGCCAAATGATTGTGTTTAAATTTAAATGGAGAACCCATTTGTTTACTCACCATTTGAGGGAGAGCAGGGCCTTCAGGAAGCCAGGTATCACGGCAAGTTTCTCGTTCTTCCTGATGGCAGAAATGACACGATCGGCCACATCGTTGGGATTCAAAGTGGGGACCCATCTGCAATCATTTAGCAAGTCAAAATGTCAGTGTCAAGAGTCACAGAGAGTCAGAGTCTCTCCAGAGAAAGAGAAAGAGAGAGAGATTGAGCATGGCACTCACCTGGCATTCACATCGTCGAACATGCCAGTTGCCTGAATGAAGAACGGACAAATGCAGGTGGTTCGGATGTTCGTATGGCCAAGGACTTCCAGCTCCAGCCTCAGTGCCTCATCAAAGCCAACCTGTAATTATCGACCGTCGAGAGTCAAGACAGTGGCATGGCATGGGGAGTGAGTCGGAGTGATTGTGGAACACTTACCGCAGCAAATTTACTGGCACAGTAATCGACCAATTTGCTAATGCCCACATGGCCGGCCAGCGAGGCAATTGTGGCAATGTGTCCTCGATCATTCTCAATCATTTTGGGCAGAAACGCTTTTGTCGTCTGTAGGAATTTCAATATCATGTATCAGGCCTCACATTCTTCAATCTGTCCGTTCGTTCAACTCACCCAAAAGTGTGCCATAACATTCACATTGAACGAGCGTTCGATCAGATGATCGGGTGTATCCAGCAGATGTAAGCCAGACACAACGCCCGCATTGTTGATCAGCAAAGTAATCTGAAAGATTAAACAAGCAAACACATGTGTGAGTTTTTAACTAATGGAAAATTTAGTTAATGGAAAAACTTTGGTCAAAAATGTTGTCTAAAAATTTGCATATGGCGTAAGATTTTGTGTGTCAAAAAACTAGTAAATATTCTCAACTTGTTATGGCTATCTAGACATACATACATACATATGTATGTAAGTAGCCTTGACGGGTTTTGGATTTTGGGCTTTCGCATGGTCATTAGTTACATTATTTATTGCCTGAGTTTTATTTCTGTTGGGAAATATCGTCAGATGTCAGAAACTAACAGTATATGAGCTTAAAGAAAAAGAGCTTAAGTATATAGTATTATCAATATATTAATAGCAGTTCTCAGATATATGAATATCAGTATCAATACCAATCTATTAGAAAATAATCTTTTATAATATGTTTTAGCAAAGAAAGCAATAATTTTTCTGTCTGTTGGAACATATAAAATGAATCCTTGATAATCTTAAAACACTTAAAAAACTTTTATTTATACCTGGCCGAAGTGTTAGGGAAATGAAGACCAATCTCTCAGTAATAATCTTTAAAAACCCTGAAACTGACGTATGTATATTTTCTACGTTTTTTTATGGAAAAACCATGAAACTACAAAATATATCTACATATGATGAAACTTAAAACTCATTTACAACCTCTTATGTGTGAACAATATTTATTTTGTTGATGTACAACAATTGTACACGCTTCAAAGCTTAAGAAGATATTTCAACAGTGAAAAAAAAACCACCAACTGGCATTGAAATCGTTGAAGTTCGATGACAACCCAAAACATGCAACGTTTGAAGGTTCTATTTAAGGCAGAACAAAGCCTTTATAATCCAATTATAATTGTATATATTTGATTCTAAGTCTGTATGAAGAATAAAGTGTCTACAGAGAGACGTCTGAAAAAATATATAAATAAATTTGGGAAATGATTCATTGTTTCTGCAAACTGTACAAGAAATGAAGAACCCCTTGAGTTAATTCTAATTTTATTCTATATTTAAGAATCAATGAATCTTTGGATAAATTAAAAAAAAAAACGTAAGCCCCATAAGAACTTTCTATTACCATTGAATCGACTTGAACAACTTGGAAATGTGCACTTGCGATATGTATTTAAACACTACCAAATTTGGTCAAGTGAAAATGTTAATTAAAATGTAGTTTAAGCCAGTGAAATCCTTCAACAAAAGTTGAGCCATGTCAAGGTCCAATTGCGAATAATGTAAAATGCTTGATTGCCAGCCACTGTCTGGCCGACATCCGTACGTCGCTGCCTAAGTAGTTAATCATCTACTCGTAATCGTAGAGTACCTCTAGCCTCTTACTCGGTATGTGATTGCTGTTTTTGCCGCTGGTTAAATGAGTTAACAACAAGTGCAGTGCACAAGCATAATGATACGATTTTGAGGGCGGGTTCAAGTGCAAAATTCGAGTGTGGGGCAGGGCCGTGGGTCATACATTGCGTATGAGCGATTTCAAATCTTCTTGCTGTAACCATCTAAAAACATTTAACGAGGCGTGCATTAAGATACAAACAGCCACACAGAAACAACAGTCGCAGTCGCATAATTAAGGCAACAACAAAATCCCAACAACATCGCCAGGCCATTAAAAAATATTAAATGTTATATTTCAGACAGAAACCAAGCAATGCTCATAGTAGCAACAAAAAAAAACCAAAAAACAACACAAAAGTCTAAAAACAAGTGGGGAGAAAAAGCCACAAAAGCTACGCGTCATCTGCATAACGCATGACTTACTAAGCAGCTGAATGCTGTGTATTTTATACACTTTCAAAGGGTTAGATGATTGTGATTTGCTATGTTTTGCTAGGGGAAGACCATTTCTGAATCTATAAAGCTCTATAAACTTCAGTATTACTATATTCTCCACAGCTCAACCATTATTCAGTATCTTTGCATATTTGTATATATTTTAAAGTGTGATCGTGAACATTTTTCAGCTAAGATCGATTCTGGAATCAGGACGAATTCCCAGATCCAGTAATTCTTAAGGGTGCACGGCAGTAACTAGTGAAGAAGTCCCCTACTGCGGGCAATAAATATTTCAAATTTATCTGCAAGTGTATCGTAAGCTTCGGTTATCGCATCCATCCTTCTCCTATTTTCCACTTGTTTTGCTTTTTGTTTTGCGTGCTCTTTTCGGCTACTGTTTCATTTGTTTTTCTTCCTTTTGTTTTTTGTGACTTTCAGGTTCAACGCTTTTGAGGCTGTCATTATATAACTCTTTCAAAAGGCTGGTTTTGTTTAATTTTCTTTAACCCCCCCTTCAGCCATTTCGTTCAAGTGGGTGGCTGGGATTTTTATGCTTGAATTTCTGATATAATTTTAACAAATTTTTCAACTGAAATTATACTTTTGGGAGTTTTGCTACTTTGAACTTGTGTCAGTTCGGTAAACATTTATTTTGAAATCGGACTCTGGCCATGCATAAAATATCTCTTAAATGATGGTTGTTATGTCTCTAAAAGGTTGTACAAATCATTTTTCGAGCAATTATTATCATGTGTAGAAATGGAAAAAAATGATTGCTGGGAAGAATGGGAAATATGGAATTAGAAGAGAACAAAATTTTGTTTTACATTTTTCTTAATGCTGGAATATTAACTAAACTAGTAGTATTTAGGGGATAATTTTCTCTTCTAATCGGTGCCTGCCTTCTGAATTTTTTCTTTGTTCTGAATAATTCAGATTTTCCATTCGTTCAGTTTTTAATGAGCGAGGAATTTGGGTAGAAAATTAAACTCATTGAAAACTGAAACTGAATATTTATACATACATACAGTTATCTACAATTTTCAAGATACGAGAAAACCGAAATTACAGAACTATTCAGAAAATTCGTACGAGTATGTACCAAATTGTGGCAAAACAATGGCAAACCATCACAGAGTAGCTTAGCAGCTTTAAAATATGTTCATCAAAAATCTCAAAACACATGCAATTTTTGCGTATTTTTTTCCTTAATATTATTTGTTCCCTTAATCAATTTCTTCCTCTTTAATTAACGGAATACCTCAACCTTGACTTGACTGTCTTCTTCATTAGCAAAGCTCCTCAAAAATGATTTGTGTTTGTACATCACATACTCCCCATATGCTCGTTCAGGTTCTAATTGATAGAACCAATGTATGACCAAAATAATTAGCAAGCGAAAAGGCAACAAGAAACTTTTCTGACTTAAATAAAAATGTTAAAAGTCACAAGAGCTTAGCAAAACAAAGGTCTCCAGTCACAACATTTTATGGCACTAATATTTTTCGGACTGTTGCAAGTCAGTTATGAGTGGCAAAGGGGAGTTTGAGCTGCAATTAGCAGCAAAGATGTTGCTGCTCGTGCCGCGTGCAATTAATTTGAATGCAGAAGTGGCAAAAGTAGCTGAGGAGTATCTCAAGTAGTAGCAGCTACATACATTGTGGCGGCACTGGCAGGCCATGGGATGGGCGCTGAGACTGCCCCAGATTGTGATAAATGAGCAGATCGAATGCGAATGCGATGGAGAAGTGGTGGCAACCAGTTTGCAGAGGACCGGACCTGGCTACTTCTTTTCAACGTGTTTTTACGCGTTTGGTGTTTTTATACTCTATAAAGGGGTATTTAAATATACGATCAACATTAAAAGTAATGATGATAGAGCCGTTTTTTACACAGAATTTTCAGTACACAGAAGGTATGTATGATATATACTCCAGCTACTATTTTTTAACAGCATTCTTAAGACATAAATGAGTAGAAAACCCCCTTTAAATGGAGAACTTTAATCAGAAAAAATTCCTGCAAAATTTCAACAAACTTATTTTTAGAGTATCCCAAGCCTCGACTCTGGCAACGCGCCTTTCTTTCTAGTTTTTTTTTCTCTTGTTTTTTTTAAGTTTTGTAATGTGCAACAATTTCTCAAGGTTGCCGCAACGATGACGATGCGCTCATGCATACACATTTTTCCCCCTTTTTTTACCCCCCGACTTCGGTTGAAATTTATGACATGAATATGCATAAATGTGTTGCAACGGGGTGTGGCAGCGGCACCGTCTTACATGTGTTTTTCTGAGCAGTAAGAGGAGGAGAAGAAGAAGAAGGGTTCTGTGTTCTGGCCAAGAAGACAGGCCATTAAACGCCCCTCAACAAACAATTATATGAGGACCAGTCTGATGCCACATTAGGCGCTCGACTGTAAACAGTAATTACTCGACTTTTATGCTTCAATTGCGGCACGGATCTTCCCTCCTAGCCACTAGCCACAAGCCTCTCTCCCTCTCTCTCTGTTTTCTTTCTTTGTAATACTTACATCACCGACTTCTTCTCTGATGACATCGGCCGCCTTATAGACCTCTTCCTTCTTTGATATATCCACCACATAACCCTTGCAGTAGCCGCCCGCCTCTTCGACGATCTCAATGGTTTCCGCAATGCCTGCAAATGGTATTATTATCAAATTATTTGAATAGATATCTTGGGCAGCCAGCTAGTGATCCGAAGCCCTTACCCTTCTTGTTGATGTCCCAGATAATGACTTTGGTTCCCATCTTTCCGAGTCTCTCGGCCAGCAGGCGACCGAGGCCATTGCCACCACCGGTGATTAGGGCAATGTCTGTGTTGAGCTCCTTTTCGGGATAGCCAAAGACAATGTAGTAGAGGTCCTGCAACAAGAAAAAGGAAATGGAATTTAATTAGGTTAGCCTATAATTACTGGAAGGAAGTGTACGAGTAAGTGTCAAGCAAGTGTTTTAATGAATTCCATGCCATATGGCTCATTAAATGTTGATTACAGAATAATTGAAGAGCATTCTTCTAAAACAATACAGAACTCTTGCCCCGGAAAACTTCTCTGCCTATACTATTCTATGGGTGCTATTTTTTTTTTGTAAAAAGAAGTTTTTTCTCAATATTTAATTGTGGAATGGATTAAAAAATGATTCTATTTGGTATAGTTTCCAGTTCAAAGCGAATACAAATTTCAAAGAATAGTTCTAAAACAGTTCTAAAGTATCAGTTTTAGAATGAAACAAGGGAGTATACGGACAAAGAAGCATGGACTGAAATAATTCTACTTTTGATAGACTTTTGTACCGATGAAATAATTTTATTGGTTAAAAGAAATTAAAGAAACTAAACATAGAGTGAAGATCATAATTTCAAAGTGTTATTGCGGACATAACTCTTGAAAACATTCTGTAATGAACCAATTACACATTTGTTAGTTCCAAATTCCAAGATACATACATATGTTGCTACTGTAGTACAATAGAGGCAATAGTATTGTAGCTATATATATATGTTCTACAGATTTGCTTTAGGAAGTACTATTACTGGTCCGAAAATAATACGTAGTCGTCTTCCTAGAGGCGTCCCAATACTTAAAAGACTATATCTAGTTTCTATTTCTGTTTCTCTATTTATTGTATATATTTTAATCACTGTATATTTTTTGTATTAGTAAGTAGATCACTTTGCTTTGTCTGCATATCCCATATCTTTATTCCATTAGCATAATAAAGTCTTTATTGACTTCATTCTCCATTCTAATCTCACTCAAATCAACAATCATATATTCCAATGAAAAATTTATAAACAATTTCCCCAGCCACTGACACATACAGACATATGTATGTATGTATACAAACGTAACCATAAATCAACCACAAATGCTCTAAAAATGTTCGAATGCCTTTTGTTGTTGCCCAAGTCTTTTGTTTTCCTTTCATTTATATTTTTGTATTTATTCATTTCCTATATGCTCTCGAACCAAAGCGAAAAAACCAAGTCACGCGTGCGCAAATGTTTACCCCATTTAAAGTTTACATAAAAAACCTCAGGAAGGAAATACAAATAAAGTGTAAAATTGTAAAGAGCATCCGAGCATTTGTTTGTGTCAATTGACGAATGCATGTTAATAGACCATAAAGAAAAGAGCTACAAGCAAGAAAGAAAATCGATTGTGGAAGGCGGGTGCCCCACAATTAATTGAAACATTTGGGCACCGTATATATATTTTTTATGTAAAATTTGCAACATTTTTTATGATGTCAATTTAGTGTCAATAAGCTGTCAAAATTTATGGCTATCACGCCTCCAGTTGCGGCCATAAGAAACGAGGCAAACAGACGAAACAAAAGACTCAAGCACCGAACTTAATATTAAGCATGTTTTTGTTTTTTTCTTCGTTGCGGCGTAGTGTGGCACACAGTAGCACTTTCTGTGTTGCAAGCGTCCCATAAATTTTCATGCCACACGCGAACTTGTTGCCAGCAAATTCGCCTCATCCGCTTAGGGGACTTGGGCCTTTGGTCAGTGGGCATCGGGTTTTGGGCATCACCCTGGGCATGGGCATGGGCCTGGTATTGGGTCTGGGGTCTGGGATCTGGGATCTGGGGTCTGGGTCCGAGCCTGGCAAGCGTGTCCAATTATTTTGACATTAACAATGAATGTGTCGCAACAATGTGCTTTTTTTCGTATACCTAGTACTTGTGGCATACATAGGGTATATGGCATTAATCAGAAATATGAGTTTGTAAGTGGAAAGGTGGAAAAGTATCTATAAAGTATTTTCACGGTGGGTTAAGTATTACAGGCAGAATACTTGGAACCAAAACTTTAGGTATTTATGGATAATTCTTCTTGGCATCATTCAAAACATATTTACAATCGATTTAAGTATATGTGTTTGCCTATTAAAGTAAATTTAGAATAGATTTGGAGTCATATTAGATACAGTTTCTGTTTACATAAGCTTCCGAGTTTCCAAGACTATACAAATGTATAGAGAAATCAACAAGAAGCAATCTAAGAGCACCTAGGACAGTAATTTCCTTCGGATAAATATTCAAATGAATTTCCATTAAATAATTTTCTACATACACCAAAGCTAAATAAGTATAACTACTAGGTATCTTTTTTGTCTCAATCCTACACACTAGCACCACACTCTTTCTTGCAAGTTGCAAAGTTTTTCTTTCTCCCCTCCCAAAAACAAAGTATCATAAATTATACAAAAATTAATCAAAGGGAAGGGCATGTTTGGGGCTTGTTGTCTGATGTGGCAGACAACAATGATGATGAGTGGCTTTTGGGATGTTTCAGCTGGCCCTTTATTTTCCTGTTGCTGCTGCCATCTCGTTGACAGACATTTTGTCACATAATTTAACATGCAACTCAACTTTGAATCCATGCCACTCCATGCGGACAGGAAGCGCACAATTATAATTTATACATAATATGATAATCAACATAATAAGAGCAACGATTTATTTATAACAAGATACACAACATACTACACCGAAAAATATGCAAATTAAAACGATTTTTTATGGCAGAAACGAATAAGAGAAAGATTTTACTGCCTCAGATAATGGAAACATTTTTGTGGAAATGTTAATTTTGCAGACACGTTTCGTTGTTCGTTTTTTAGCCGAATCATTTGAGAATTTTTGGTTTGTTTTCTTACAAATGTCTGGGGCTTGGGCCTGGGATTTATGAAACCTGCCCCGTCAGCATTATGTTGGGATTTTATTGGTCTGTCTCCCTTGTGTCTGTCTGTGTCTGTCGTTGTCTCTGGTTGATTGTCAAGGTTCCCAACGCATTGACCTTTGTAAGACGGACGGAATACCAAATCAAATCCGATTGAACTTCGTTGCACTGACTTTGAATCGATTGGAATTCGAATTTGAAGGTCTCTCGTCAGTTGAAAATTTTAGTGGGAAATGGAATTTTAATCAGAAATTTGACCTTGCAAGGGCAAGAAAATGAATGCAATCAATTATTGGGCTTTGGATTATCATTAATGTGGCTTTTCTGAAGGTGAAGTTCTACGTTTTATGATGAAAGGAATGGAAAATTTACTCAAAAGTATTGATGAGCATCAAAATCAAAGTTCTATACAAATTAAGCATTAAATGATTCCAAAATTTTAAATTTTTCTGTAAACCATATTTAAAAGCATAAATTTTCCAAATTTGAACGTTTTTATTAGCAACAATGAAGTTTGAAGGAAGCTGCGTAAAGGTACCAAGTGAATGCGTCTCAGAAGAACGGAGAGCACCTGTACTGCGCCGAAGATTTACTTATAAATAAACAGATCAACTAGCCTCATTATAATATTTAACTGAAATAGTTGTCTATTTTTTTTGTCTATTCTTAATGTTGATATTGTTTAGATTCTACCCCATTAATCGACTGAATATCTGAGCTTCAAAAATACAATCTTTCTTCCAAATTCTATGAACCCTTACCTTTAACTAAATAAAATCGAGCCAACATCATTGGCATTAGCATAAAGACATACTCTGTGGCTCGAGTTGGCTCAAGTATTTTGAGTGTTTAGCTCATTAGTGTGGCTTGGGATCTTAATTAACGTGGGTTCTAGTTCTCTTTGGGGAGAAAATCCAGTCTCTGGCTTTCCGGATTGCAAACATCCAAGCAAAAATATGCAAAATGGCAAAAGGTACACAACATTCCGAAATGCCTGCATCATGTAGCAAGCATCTCCCCCTCGCTGTCGCCGAAGAGGCGACTTCTAAAGCGTTAAAGCCGGCTAGGGGTATTTCCCATCACCATCACCATCATCATCATCATCATCATTGGCAGTGTATGTAGTATCGTTAGCCTGGTAATCAAATGTTTGCATGGTGCTTACCACTAAGAAGACAAAAGCAAATTGGACAAACTTGTTTCTCTCTCTCTCTCTACCGCCGCTCCTTACTATGTCTCTGCATTCGTCTCTGTGGCGTGTCGGCAGGTCCCCTCCTCGGCTCCAAGAGAATTGCGAAAAATATCAACAACCTGAAGTTGCCGGCTGGCTTGCCTGCCGTACCTTTAAGCTGCACAGTTCTAGAGCCAGCTGAAAGTGAAACTGAATACCAGGCAGCAGCTACATACTTGCACAGAGGCAACAGCCTCTTGCCCAACCTCAGAGCTTGATAGCACTCAAAGCACGCTGCACACTGTGGCACACTCGCACTCGCACTCGCACCTGCCTCCAAATTGGCTCCAATTTTGGTCACTTTATGAGTGGAGTGCAACAAAATGCTTTGCTGTAGATTTAATGCAACGAATTTTATATGCTCTTGTTGCTTGGGAGCTCAATTAAAAGTGGTTTTGCTCGTATCTGTTTACAGCAGCTTAGCAGCTTATACTGGCTAAAATATGTGTCAGATTTGAGCTATAAAAACTCTTTAAAAACCACTTGATTTGCAGAATTATACAGGAATTAAATCTCCTAGTATAAGGTATAAGTGCAAAAATTATTCTATCTATAATATTGAACATATCTCTTTACAAAAAAATCAACAGATGAGCATCATAAATGTATATAATTCATTTTTAATTAATTGAAAGCTTATTACATTTAAAAACCTTAGGTTCCATTGCATTTATATAGCGAGATAATTTTCAATAATTATCTAGAGTAATCAACGTTAACGTTTATCGTCAGATTTCTCTGAATATATTGTATATTTTTGAGATTTAATATGAATCCATCATCCCAACTATAACACCCTACCAAGAGACAGAGTATCAAAAATCTCGAGAGATTTCGTTCTCCGAGTGTGATTCATACGGCCAAACAAAAGACTAAAGGCACGAACTTGCTACAAAACATTGTAAACGCCAGTGTTTGTGTTGCAAGCATGCATTGGCCGGC